TTGGTAGTTTGCTTATGCGTCAGAACAAGATGTCCATTCGGAGGCCGCGTGAGTCTGATATGTCCGTGTCCGTGTAAGGAAATTTATTTGCTGAGTTATCCGTGTACGGGACCCGTGGGCCGAGTCGGTTGCCGATATGAACAGACCCCATGGGTAATAGGCCGCGGCGTTCGATCGGCGTGAACTGATGCCTGCTTGTGGATGCAGCTAAATATGAGGTAGTTGTTCGTTAGCGACATGCCTGTAGTCGCGGTCGCCGTATCGGTATTCACGGCCGCTGACCCGCTGGAAAATTGAACCTGTAGGGTCGCCAATGCCCACAACGTTCGCCTATCTTGGTTCATCGATGCGAACGAGGTATGGAGCGCGTATCAATGTTATCAACACGCGCAAGCCTGTTCCCACCCGCTTAGTATTTCTCAAATGTTAACAGTACAAGCGGGCTAGTTTCTCTGGACAGTACCGACTCAGCGGATTGATACGATATATCCCGGTCTTAAATGTTCCGCTTTTCTCACCCTCCATAATGAGGTGTCATTTTCCGAGTCAGGAAACCACTGCTTCCACTGAAGCGTCACACGTAAATTATATCCATGTTTGGAGGCTTAAACTTCGGATACATTCCCGCTGCCAATGTGTTTGTGTCGGGCCTATCTTTCTATTAAACGGTTCCTCTGCTAATGCAGCCACGTGATCTGGCGAAACTTGCTCAAATAGTGATTGCTTCAACAAACGAGAATATTCTGCATCTCAGCTACTACGGCTCTAACTCACATTGGTTTGCTCATTTAGTTAAAATTCCGACCTCCGTGTAAATTTCGGTATCGATAATTGCCGACTGAATTATTCAAATCTGCCAAAATGGCTACCAATTAAGTGAGTCTAGTAGTCATTCTGGTGGATTCTAGACCATTGCCTAGGAAACCCTCCCTGGGCAGTCAGTTTACTGTATCCGTAATGGTGGATTCCATACGAGCAGTAGGCTGGGCAGGTAAATCGACCAAGTGATTAAATTCAAGGCCTTCGGGGTGCCTTCGTAGCTCAATGGTAAAGCTTTAGCTGCAGTTTAGGCCTCCCTGCTGTGCGGGCTCGAATCCCACCGAGGCCACGAAAATGTGCACAATTGGTTCGACTGAACTACCTATTCCTCTGCGAACTAGCGTAAACGATAAGCCATGTTCTCTCGGTTTAAGAGTGAAGTCCCCTTGCCCCAGAAGTTGACCTACAACTTCTGTTCATCTAGGTAGACGCCCGATAAAGTCCCACTTTCACAATGGTCCTCTCTTTTTTGTGCTCTGAACTCCTGCACGCAGGTACACGCCCGATCGCGTGGGCCGGTGACAGCTCTGAC